TAAAATTCTCCCATGTCCAAATCTCCCACTGACGTCCTTCTAGAAGCAGCTATGAGGACCAGTTGCTGGTGGGGATACTAACCTACACAGGATGCAGCTGAGGTTGTAACATCACATCAGCACCTTGAAAATTGTCCGTTGTAGGACACCTCTTAATTGTTTCTCATCATCACACACGAATAAGAGAGAATGGACCACAAAGATGGGGGGAGCAGTCTGTTAGGGTTCCCAGAGTTCTAATCAGAAGCAGCATCTGGGCACGGACAGATGAGGACCTGCACCCGGCTTGGGCACTCAGGGCTGGAAGAAACCAGTCCGTGGAACCGTGTGCACCAGGCTCACCCCTCATCGGCTCCAGATCAGACCTTCAACACCTGGAGGGAACCGTGCAGCAGTTAGAAAATGCTCAGATTTTGCAGATGAAAAGCTGAGGCCCAGAAAAGTGAGGAGTCTTGCGCATGGTTGCTGTTTCTGGCAAACTTTCTATGACAGCCTTTGATGCTCTATAGCCAGCTGTACGGGCCATTGACCAAAGGGGTAAATCCTCATTTGCTAACCATGCTCTCTGGAACCCGATCCCACAGGTCCTTCCTGGTATTGGGGTGAACTCCTTGGTAGGCCCAAGGCCCCAGTCCTTCCTGGCCAAGCCTCCAACCGGAGTGCTGGAAGGTTTTGTCAAAGCACTTATGCTTCTCATGAGCAGCCTAGGCCCCTAAGAGAATGCAATGTCTCTCTCTGCTGTGGTTTCCCTCACAGGCACAGCCGTGCTGGGCCCACAAAAGCCCAAGCTAGGGGTGGGGGTAGGATGGGGGAGTTGCTTTGCTACATGGAAAGATTAAGCCCTTTTGTCAGAGAACAAGGTCCCATCATCAGGCAGACCAACACGGAGCTGGTGCCCAAGGAGGCCAAGTTGCTCTCTTTGGCATCACTGACATTGCTCTGAGATGCTCAGGCACTCTTTCAAAATAACCCTTTCCCAGCCAGACCAGGTCAATCAGCCCCGATCAGGGGCAGGGCTCCCCAGCCCTTCAACCAAGATTGTTTTGTTTTGCCCCAATCTCTTCTGACCTGAGTGAAAGCAGACTTGAAAAGACCGGGGACAATGAGTCTGCATTCCCATCTCCACCCTGATCATCCAGTGAAAGATAACTCAGTACAGGAAGCAGCATTTCAAAGAGCCTCTTTACGTGTTGGGGATACTGGAGAAGAGAATGCAGAGGAGAGGATGAGAGAGGGAGGGGTCGGCAGGGCAGCGGGCCTCCTCTTATCCATCGCCTTGAAGCCACTGCAGGACCATCCCTTGGCCCTGAATGACATGCCATCTCCCTCCCCCCAAGTGGAGGACAACTCAGTACAATGTCAAGCAAAGGCAGCAATTTCTTGCAGAGTTTGCACAGTGCAGGGAGCAATCAGAGAAACAGAACACAGACTCGCTGAAGCCGTGCTGCTTTCTGGGCCTAGGGAGATGGGGGGGGGGGGGGGGTCAGAGGTATTAGGAGCTCTGGAGCCCCAGGGGAGGAGCACAGGTCTCCCGGGCAGCAAGGTGAAGAGCAAGAACCCTGGTTTGGGTGTCAGGGCTCCTCGCAACGCAGTCTCAGATTGTGCTACATTTCATTTCCAAGGAAGTACTCTTGGAGAGTTCTATTGTCTTTAAAGGGTGCTTCTGCTCTCCTCGAGGCTGGCAGTAAAGAAGAGCTGGGGCAGGCTGGCCCTGGTGGGTGCCATGCCCCGGGGAGGACTGGCTTGCCACTCCAACGGGCAGTGATCCCACAAGGGATGGGCGGCTCAGGCGCCCTCTCTCTGGAGCTCCTAGGTTCTGCCTCTGCCAGTCCTGGCAGCACCCGGGACGTGTGCCTTTCCCGGGAGAGCTGGTGGTGTCATTCTGGACCGGAGTCATTCTGGAGACAGTTCTTTCCCGCAGGGTCACACCTGCCCTGGTCCAACCAAGACGTGGCTCATCAGTGGAGCCTCATTCATCCCCAAGGCCCATCACAGACTTCCCTGCAGGGAAGCCATCTTTGAAGGGAGTGGGAGGGACTCAACAGAGCAGAAATGTGAAGTCAGCGCTCTGAGTCATTCTCACGGTTCCTGCCCGTAGCCAGCATTGCCGCAGGGCCTGTCTTCCAGAGCCTGCCTGAGCAGAGGAGATGGAGTGACAGAGCCCCCGTCTGAGATCAGCTCCGGGCTTCACCTGGGCTGCGGGGAGGGAGGGTTAGGGGCCAGGATACAGTCCCTAGCCGTGAGCTGGTCCCAGGTTGGAGAGAACTCTGGGGGTTCTTGTTCCTTCCTCCCCCACTATCTCCTCTGAAAGAACAGACACTCCCGCCTTGAGCTCCCTCCTCCCCTGCGACGGGCTGGTTCCAGAGCTGCTTCTCAGGCCCCTGCACGCGGGGTGCTGAGAAACAGACTCCGACCTCCAGCCGGTCTCCAACACACTCACATGACTTCACCCTCCTGGGGGCAGATCTAGGTGGAATCAGTCACTTATTTGGTACAAAGGCTTAAAAAGAATCATTCCCAAGGTCAGCAGGGGGCGGGGTCACTGCCCATTAGAGATGGAACTGAGGAGTGGGCCTACCCTGGCGGCTTTGGCAGCTGGGGTTGCAGGCAGCTCTATCCACACGCCAGGCGCCACGTCTGGCTGGCATTTCCCCTTTGCTAACCCACCCGCCCCCGAGGCCAGGGGCACCGGCCTCCAGCTACCCAGCGGTAGCCTCTTTGCTGGCAGCTCCCACCTTCTCAGAATCACGTCTTTCTGGGCCCTTTGAGGAATGAGGGTGACATCCCCCTTCCCTAGGGGTGGCTGCATGGTCTGAGGATCGCCATTCGGTGCTACATCGGCAGGTGTCTACACGTTCACCATAAGCCCACCACCCTCGTGTGTTTTCACACCATCCTGAGGGCGAGCTCTCTGAGGTGAGCACATCACAGACAGGACATAGAGCACCTCCCTGAGCGCAGTCCTCCCTCTACCACTCTTGGACCAGAGTACAGAACCCGTGCTTTCACTGTAGAACCGGGAGACGTGCAGGCGTTACCCAGCCCTGACAATGGGAGAGGATTTCTGCAGAAAGAGAGGGTGGGACCCGGCTGGCCCTCCCTCTCTTCCACGCACACAGTGGTCTCGTGCTGATACAGAATGCAGGCTCAGGCCTAGGCGCTCATAGCATTGGTTTCTTTACTGCCCGTATTACCTACTCTTTGTCTATGGGCAGGACTGACGGGGTCCTGGTTTCCTCCCCTTGTGTTTTGGGAGAAAAGGTGGATCCTGCCCAAAAGGGACGCCCCTTGGTGGAGATGGCAGTATCCCCAGAGAGCTTCCCTCCACCTCCCTCAGAACCCACCTCCTTTGGTTACAGATGGAGACCAAGCACTCAGGCTCTGAGCCTGCACTGCCTCCGGCACATGGAGTCACTGCAGCATTGGGGATGATGTCTGGGGAAGAGAGAGCTTGCCCCATTCCATGACACCCTCCCTCATACTCTTTCCTTCCCAAACACGGATCCAAGAGCTGCTATATCCAGCTCCTGCGCAACCTCTCACCTTTCACCCTTGACCTAAGCCAGACTTCAGTCCGGGCACTGGTCCCACCCACAGAACCCAGCCTGCAGACCAAGTCAGAGTGTGAGCAGCTTTGCGAAGCTCCAGCCAGATGGGTGGGATGAAAGCAGAGCGGGTAGGTGCCAGGAGCAGGCCAGGTCACTCTCCAGCGGGCAGCAGGCGCGGGCAGCGGGCAGCGGGAGAGCTCAAGGAGGCAGGGAGGCCGAGCATGAGTGTTGCTTGTACAGAGCTGGTGGCTGTGGACGCCCAGAGTCGAGAGCCAGGCTGATGGTGGGGCCAGGAGGCTGGAGCCCACATGAGCTGAGCTCCCAGATGGACCCTGATCTAGAAATGAGCAGGACAGAGCCCCAGGCAGGATTCTCAGAGCAAGTCCGTCCTGCCCTCCATAACCCAGCAATCAGCCCCACCCTCGGCACCTCCTCACAGGCCAGGCCCTACCAGGATGAGCCCAGTGGGGTCAGGGCCACCCTCTGAGCCTGGGGAGGACACAGGTGCCTCCAGGGACTATCTGCTCTGGCAGAGTACATGCCCTCTGAGGCAGCCTCCTGGACGGCCACACCTCCTGCCCACACCTGCTGGGTCCCCTGGAGAGTTCCTTTGGCATGTCAGAGGTGCGGTGGCTTGGAGGGAGACAGAAGGTGAGGAGCAGTGCTAAGGGAGGTACCGGAACTTCCCCCTAAGGTGTCTGGCCAGCAGCCCTGCAAACTAAGACCTCCAGTGTTTTGCTTGTTGGAAGGAGGTGGCTCCAGCCTGAGGGAGGAAGCAATCTCCAAGGCCTCAGCTCCCCAGGCTTCTTTGCTTCCCAGGCCCTGGCCAGGGCCCTAGCCGGGCATGCTCCATGCTGCAGACGCATTCAGTGGGGCCGGCGGAGGGGTGTCAGGGCTCCCAGAGGGGCGCCGTGTGGCCAGCTGCAGTGGGTGCTACATTCCTCAGAAAAGGTAGCAGTGCTGGGAGAGGCAGAGGTGGGACAAAGAACGAGACAGAACACTCAGCAGGGATCACCAAGAAGAGGAACAGGCAGGGACACTCGGGCTCTGCCCCGGGCACAGGAGCAGGCAGGATGGACCAATGGCCACCCCCGATTCCATCCCCGGACCGAGGGGGTGTTGTGTCCACACACAACACTCATTTGGGTTTCTTTTCAACACGACATAGAAGGACATGGAGTTCAGCCCACGTAGTCACCAAGACTGACTATACCCAGACACATGAACAGATGTAACATGGTCACACACAGACAGAAACACACACACACACACACACACACACACACACACACACACACACACTACACTCTCCACTGCCAGCTGGGACGAGCCCAGTAGCCAACAGGCATGCAGCAGGGCGAGGGGCCAGAACGACGTGAAGACTATGTACAGGGGGAGAGGGGGCCAGTAGGAGCCCCTTCCCACACCACAGCCAGCCTCCTCCTGGGGTCCTCAGGGGCACGAGGGGCTGGTGGCACTCTCCAGGGAGGACTGGGACAGGCGCCGGGTGAGGGAGCCGAGGGTCGAGTCTGCCACGGAGGAGGTGGGGAAGAGTTTGTACCAGCCGGTGACGGCGGCACTCAGGTCCAGCTCGTCCAGCATGATCTGGGCCATGCCCATGAAGCACTTGTGGTCCATGCGACCGTAGTCTCCCCAGACGATCACCTGCCGGTGGGAGAAGAGAGGAGCTGAGCCACCTCCCCGGCTCCAGGCCTGGACGGGGGGCCCAGGAGCCTGCGGGTTCCGCCAGCGCACACATGGGTGGGACACAGAGAGCGGAAACCTGGGCTGACTTCAAACAACTTGCCGCACACTGAACGCCTGTGGACTTTAAATACAGTGTCTCCGTTGTTGCAGCCATCCAGGTAGCTGAATGTTATTTCCACAGAGAGGAAACTGCTGCTCAGAGAGGTTAATAAACGAATCCACAGATGCACAGTCACTGGTGGCAGAGCCGGGCCTGGACCCTGGGCCCGACTTCTGGAGCTCCCAGCGTCCCAGAGGGCAGCCTTCTCTGGGAAGGAGCAGGTGGAGACTCCAGGTCCCGCTCTGCTGCAGCTCATGGCGCGGCCCCAGCGCAAGCCCCTTGCCCTCCCTGGACCTCAGCGTTCCCATCCATCCATAAAACCGGGAGATTAGCTCAGCCATTTTCGAACTTGTGTTTTTAAGGGTAAATTCTTTTTTCAAATGAGAATTTAAATATATACTGAAAAATGGACAAGCAAGACCAAACTTTCCCCCACAGAACCCCAGGGCTCATCGGTTCTGACTGTTTGCAGCTCCACGTGCCTTTGCTATGGAACCACCTCAGCCCAGAGGAACAGTGTGGATGAGAAGTCACAGCTCAGACAGCCCCTGCTCAAGCCTCTCCTCTGTCACCCGTGGCCTCAGGCATGGCCGACAGCCCACCGCCACCGCCGCTGCTCAGAGTTAGCGAGTAGCCTTCTGTGTGACAGGCGCTGTGTGGGGCCCTCTAAGGCCTCTCTCGTTTGATCTTCACCACTTACCACAGCTAGTAAGCGATCAAGCTAGAACTTGAATCCAGAGGCAGACCATTACTACGCTCTATCCCCGGTAACCTCGTGGGCGGCTCAGGCAACTTCATCTATGAAACAGGCATGATAATCCCTCCCTCCCAGGACCCTAGTGAAGCGTTTGTCACTCTCAAGGAGTGAGAGTCATCTTGACCTGGGCTCGACTCGGCTCAGTGAGTCCCCAGCTGGCACCTCATGCCAGCCACTACCTCTTTCTTCCCCTCGTTTGTGAAATGGGAGTCGCCCTGCTTTGCAGGTTCGTCTGGAGGATGGAGCCAGGTCACAGCGGGAAGCAGCTCGCAGCCTGGCATGAAGCTGATGCACCGTGAGCCAGCACCAGGTGGGACCTGGGTGGTCGAGCTACCCTCCACCCCTTGGTTTCCTTATGAGTCAGCCGGGAGGGGGGGCAATCGCACCTCACTGGGTCGTGAAAATAAATGGGCAACACATATGAATGCACCTGGCATTCGTACCTGGCACAAATGAAACGGATTTCAAATGGTGATGGGCGGTCTTGAGCGCTGCCCTCTCACACTCACCTGTAGCACCCTGCCCTGGGGCCCCTCGTCAAAGAGCAGAGCCTGCTGGTACAGGGGGTCACAGGTCTTCTTGGCCACCTTTGTCTTCTTCTTGGCCAAGCAGGCCCCATTCTCAAGCAGGTAAATCTTGATATAGGTGGCTGAGGGATGGGAGAGAGCATGATGGGGATGGGTCAGGAGAGACTGCGGTGGCCTGTCCCTCCCCAACCCCCAGGTGACCCTGCAAGGATGAGTAGAACGAGCTGGCCAGTCAAAGAGTCTAACTCAAACACTGGTTCCTCCACCCTCCCCTAACCTCACCCCTATTTCCTGGCCTTTGGGGCAAGTGGTGACTCCAGTGTTGAGAATACTGATTTAGGCCAATGGGGAACTGAGGACTCACGAGACCCAGACAGTCTCCTCCTCTCTGGCAGGACCCCATTCCCAAAGCCTTCTCCCGACTGCCCAGCCTCACCTGGGAGAGATTTGGAGCCAGGCTTGGGGGTCAGGCCCCGCGCCTCGATCACTTCCACCTCCAGCTGGCCACTCCGGTCCATGATGGCAACATGCACGTCCCCTGCAAGGGAGAAGAGGGACAGTCCAGGCAGAGCCAGACCAGCTGCCGAGCAGCATGCCAGCCCGCAGGGGCACTGCCACCTGGAAAGGGCACGAGATGAAGAAAACTGCATGTGGGAGAACTGGCCTTGGGAGACATATTAAAGCAGCCGAGGAACACGATAATAGGTCCCTGGGGGTGGGGTGGGGGTATGATCCTCAAGGGACATGCTTGGGGACCAAAAGTTGCTGTTAAACTCTCATCTACGTCTGGCTAGCTGAGAAGCTCCTCTTTGACTGAGCAGAAAAGGCAAGTTTGGTGACAGAGCTTCCTGAGTCAGGAACACAGAGGGAGGCTGTGGGCTCAGTGGCTCTTACCTTCTACACAGCAGCCCTCAGTCACTCCCCTACATACATGTCAAATATTCAAAGACTATCAGCTTGAGGAGATGCTGAGAGATAAGCCTTCCCAGGACAGGAGGTGCCCCCGGGAACCAGGGCCTGCATGCATCATCACCAAAGGATGGAGGGAAGGCCGGCAGATTTCCTGGGAGCAGAGGACTAAGAACTCACTGTGCTCCCACAAAAAGGGATACCCAGCTGGGGCAAGCTCTGTGTGTGGAATCGTGCCAGCCACATGATTTCTAGAACTCTTGGCATTAGTCACTTGGAACATCCTTCCAAGCAGTGCAGAAGCAGAAGCCTGATGCAGAGAAACTAAAATAGAGCTGACTATGGGCTCAGTACCCATTTCAGATTCTCTGAGCCATTATGCAATAGCTTGTATTTGCATACTTTGGAAGATGCAAATACAAACACAGACATTCTGGAATTTGTCCCCCTTTCTCCAACTCTTCCTGACCTCCCCACGGGGAAATGGAGGGAGATGTCTCAGGAACCAATCTCTCTGTCTCACTATAACATCCCCAAGAAGAGCAAACACAAACCTGTCATTCCCAGTTTGGGACACCAGAGGGCACCACACGCATAGTTCTAGGCTGTGTTGGCGCATTTGCCTAGTGGAAGTGGCTGCTCCTCTCACTGCCTCCCAGCTTTTGGCTGGGCTCAGGGCTGCTGAGAGAAGCAGACTCCCGGGCCCCTAAGAGTCTGAAAGCAAGTGCTGAGAATTAGCCAGTCCAACCCAAGAGCCAGCTAAGAGCTGACGCTCACCCTTGGGGCGCACCCCTCTTCCTGCAGACAGAGACTCCGGTGTGTGCAGGGGGAGGAAGACAGGGCAGTGCAGTGGGAAGAGCCCTGGCGGGAATGAAATCCCAGCTCACTGTATGGCTCACAGCGGGGCGCTGTCTGCACTCAGCTTCCTCGTGTGCTTGAGGTCAGACGCTGCTTGAGTCAGACTGTGGGGAAGAGGGTGGCCAGGAGGCATCTCTGGGGAGACTAGTCCTGGGAGCAGCTGCTTGGAGCCAACACATCCACTAGCTAACGGAGAGGAAGGAGCCAGAACGGCAGCACAGACTTCAGGAACTACTCCTGGCTACAGAAAAGGGGGATGGAAAACTACTGCGGGCTTCTAGGTGAGGGACACTATTAGAAGTCAAATAAGACGCAGTTCCTAGGATCAAATGAAATACTTCATGCAAAGCATGAACTCCCTACCCCCCACTCTCAATAAAAGAACAACCCTCAGTACATTGTTGATAGTGAAGGCAGGTGTTTTTACTCCCATTTTATAGATGAAGGAAGAGGCTGAGAGAAGAGACTTCCCCAAGGCGGCACAGAGAACTGGTGATGGAGCCAGCCCCATGAAAACCAATGCCGTGCTGATCTGTTCGCCCTTTTCCATCCAGCACTTAGCAGAGCTGGCGGAGTGTAGTGGAGCGAGGAGGGATGGCTGGAGAGTGTAGTGAGCGAGGAGGGATGGCTGGAGAGTGTAGTGATGGAGGAGGGATGGCTGGAGAGGGTGGTGGAGTGAGGAGGGATGGCTGGAGAGTGTGGTGATGGAGGAGGGATGGCTGGAGAGTGTGGTGGAGTGAGGAGGGATGGCTGGAGAGTGTGGTGAGCGAGGAGGGATGGCTGGAGAGTGTGGTGAGCGAGGAGGGATGGCTGGAGAGTGTGGTGATGGAGGAGGGATGGCTGGAGAGTGTGGTGATGGAGGAGGGATGGCTGGAGAGTGTGGTGATGGAGGAGGGATGGCTGGTGAGTGTGGTGATGGAGGAGGGATGGCTGGAGAGTGTGATGAGCGAGGAGGGATGGCTGGAGAGTGTGGTGATGGAGGAGGGATGGCTGGAGAGTGTGGTGGAGTGAGGAGGGATGGCTGGAGAGTGTGGTGAGCGAGGAGGGATGGCTGGAGAGTGTGGTGATGGAGGAGGGATGGCTGGAGAGTGTGGTGATGGAGGAGGGATGGCTGGAGAGTGTGGTGATGGAGGAGGGATGGCTGGAGAGTGTGGTGATGGAGGAGGGATGGCTGGAGAGTGTGGTGAGCGAGGAGGGATGGCTGGAGAGTGTGGTGATGGAGGAGGGATAGCTGGAGAGTGTGGTGGAGTGAGGAGGGATGTGCTGGGAGGGCTGCTGCGGTGGCCTTCCCCTCGGAGGGCGGGCGGAGGGCGGAGGGCGGAGGGCGGGTCCTGAGTGCTGTGCTCACTCTGCGCTGGCAGGGACGCTGAGTGAGGCTCAGGTGATGGAGGGCCCTGCTGAGTTCACCCTCTCTGCCATCACCCCACTCGCCCTACCCTCATCAAGACTCACCCATTGGCGGAGTTGCCAGCGTCTGTCGCCCCACAATCTGGGCTGGTCCCAGCCCATCCAGGAAATCGCTGAACTGGCTTTCGGCCCCCAGCCGAGTGGTGGGGAAGATGAACCTGGGAAGAAGGCAGAGGGGCACGTGAGGGCATCTGGCTGGTGGGCTGCAGCCACTCTGCCTCCAAGGCAAGGGGCATTCCCCTCTTGCCTCAGTTTCCCCCTCTCCATGGCGTAAGGGACTACTTTGGCTGGGGACAGTTTGAAACCAAATTAAGAAATGAGGTGGTGCCGAAACCGGTTTGGCTCACGGCAAAGCGTCAGTCTGTGGACTGAGAGGTCCCGAGTTCGATTCCAGTCAAGGGCATGTACTTTGATTGCCGGCACATCCCCGGTGGGGGGTGGGGGGAAGGGGGTGCAGGAGGCAGCTGGTGGATGTTTCTCTCTCATCGACATGTCTAGCTCTCTATCTCTCTTCCTTCCTCTCTGTAAAAAATCAATAAAATATATTTAAAAAAAGAAAGAAAGAAAGAAAGAAAGAAAGAAAGAAAGAAAGAAAGAAAGAGAAATGAGGTGGTGCCCAAAACAGCCACTGAGTCCAAACTAGCACAATTACAGGGTTCAGTTTCATGACAAGTGGTGGTAGGTGCGCCATGGTTGTGTGTCTGGGGTGGGAAAGCAGTAACAAAACAAAACAAAAAAAAAACTAACAGTGATTGGTGGAACAGTCCCGATTTTTAACAATTTGTCCCGCGTCCCGCGGCATTTTAAAAAAGTCCTGATTTTTCAAAAAATTGGGACTTTTTTAAAATGCCGCGGGATGCGGGACAAATTGTTAAAGATCGGGACTGTCCCGCCAAAAGCGGGACGTCTGGTCACCTTACTCTAAGGTGTCCTGTGTGCGGCAGCAGAGGAAGGACAGGTGAGGGAGGACTGGCTCAGTCCTCCCTCACCTGTCCTTGGACCAAAGAAAGCTTTCAATGGACCAAAGAAAGCCCTCAGATCTGGAACTCAGGCTAGAGAGTTTAAAGATTGTCCCAGAACAAATCACCTGCTGGGCAGCATGGCTTTGAGTCCCCCTGGGCCAGTGACAGACAGGGAGGAAGACAGGCTGTGTGTGCTCGTCAGAGAGGCCGCGTGTCTGCCCTCCACACCCCAGGAAGGGGTTTCGGGCTCGCCTACTCTTATTGGTCTGTTTCGCAGGTAGCTCTGGTATATATCTCAGTATCGTAGCGAGAGTTAAAGGAGACAGCGTTTGGTCTGATAGTGCTCACGAGATCCCAGGATAAGAAGCACTGATCTGAAGTGCCCAGGGATTGCCCACATATGGTAGGACACAATACATGCTGATGGCTGCTTGCATCCATGGCTGTAGGCATAGCAGTGAGATACGTGAGCATAGACTCTTAAGTAATCCTGAAATCATTGTGACTTAATGAGGCCAAGTCAGAAAACCTTAGTTGTATACTGTAGTTTCCTAATTTAGAGGAGATCGGAGGGACTTTCACATTTTTGACTGCAGCTCCCATGGAGTCAAATGTAAGAAACACATTTAATGTCCCAGGCTCTATGTGTGCCCATCCTTTAAAACAACTGACACAGAAGTCCACAAGGCAATTCATCCTCACTCCATAGGATACAAGTGAATCTCTATTCCTTTCTCTAATGCTGGTTTTACCCTCTGAACTGATTTTACTTCCTGCCTATGAGTTACCTACCACCCACAGTTTGGAAAACTCTGATCCAGTCCCATCTCCTTCCCTGAGCTCCAAGCAAGGCCACTTGTGAGACATAACAATGGTTCTAGATTTATAGGATTTGAATCATTTTTTTCCTTTCAAACCCTCTCCTCTGGAGCGGGGCCGCGTGTAGGTGCTGGGAGGCGGGAGGCATGAAATATACAGAAGGGAGGAACCACTCCTAGGCCACTGGGGTATTCGGATGCAAGAAACAGCAATGGGAAGACTGGGGCCTCAGCATTGGTCATCCAGGGGCGAGGAATGGGGAAGGTAAGGGCACAGGAACACAGCATCTGGGTTGATGTTCTCCAGAAAACTAATTGGAGATGTTCCCACTCTGCTCTGGCTCTATGACTAGAGGACGGGCTGGGGGAGGGGGAGCAGGTTGGGGTGGGCTGCACGCACGTGCCCTCGGAGCTGTTGCTGTTGGTGCTCCCATCGGTGGACTCCCGGCTGCCCTGGCGTGTGACCCGACTCCGCATCTCCACGGCGATGCCAGTCTCCGTGCTCCTCCGGATGTTGCTGCGCAGCTTCTTAGTGGTCCCTTCTGTGACCATTCCCCCACGCCAAGCACAGAAAGGGAACAAGGTCAGATCACCAATGAGGCCTCTCTGAGAAGGCTACTCAAAGTCACCCTCTTGGGAGATGGCGTTGTGGGCAGGGCTGTGACTGCCAACAGGGGCATTGCTGAAATGACCTCTAGAGCTGGCTTGCAGCTGAACCCTGGCCTTGCTCAGGGCAGTGACACAGAAAAAGCCGATCAGAAAGATGGCTGGAGGCAGAAAGAGGCTGGGGGTATATGGAGTTACCAGGTAGAGTGCCCCCCACTCCCTGAAGCTCTTGGGTCCTCATCCTTGCCAGGCTCCCCTGACAGCTACCCATTCAATTTCAGCCTTTGCTCAAAGGTTGTGTTCCTGCCTCTCTCTTCTGGAAAGTTTGCCTTTTGCTGGATCTGCTCACCCGCATGCACCTAGCTCACTCAGACCTCACAACCACCTCTCTGATACCTTCACAGGGCCTATAACAACCTGGATGGGAGGCCTGGGCACTCTCAGACTAACATGCATTCTCCAGGTGGGTCTGGACATGAAGAGGTGATTAGGGAAGCAAGAGTAAGAGAGGATGGCTGGGTTGGCCTGAATTGAGTATGGCTTTGAAGAGGTCTCGGTGCCTCCTGCTCCCATCCTGGGCCACGACTCAGCCTTGCAGGAAACATGGGGCACTGTGCCTCTCCTAGCAGCACACCATCCTGCCTGGGTTTCCATGGCAACCTACTTGTATTGCAATGTGGTCGCTCTAGACACCCTCCCCTCCTGGGGCAGGCAGGATCACAGAAGCCAGGTTGAGGGTTTGCATGGACTTCCCTGCTAAAGCTGGGCTGCCTGAGGAGCTTGATGGGGAGGGAAGTGCTGCTCAGACAGGAACTGTACCAAAGGAGCCCTTTGCTATCACTGGTTAGAGACCCAGGCAAATTAAGAATGAAGTTGGTTATAGGAGTGGGGAGAGGTAGGGTGAGGGTGGGGGTGGGGGCGGGAGTGGGGTGGAATAGGCACTGCAGCCCCCTTAAAAACCATGGGGAAGGGGGAGCTGGTTACCATGGCAACCCACCCATATCCAGTGGTGAGGATATTCAAGACCTGCCCTGGGAAGAGGGGTGCTTTATTCCTCTTGCTTTGTCCTACTTATCTTTCAGGAAGTCCCACTGGGAGAGGAAAGGCCAAAAGGGCTAGCATCACTGGCAGACAGACGGAATGGGAGGTGGTAAGGAGAAATGTCTCTTTTCAAACCATCCCAACTTCTGGGATTTTGGAATAGCTAACTATCCAGGAATCAGTGAGGCCATCAACTTGTCTGTCTGTCTGCCTGCCTTACACACAGTCATGTTAGCTCATCCATACTTCTTTCATACTGACCGGCATAAACAGACACACGCAAGTGCTGACAATCACATTTATGAAGACGGTGATCTTACATCCAAGGTTATGGTGTGTGTTCATACAATAGTCACACAAGGTACTTCCAGGGTTTAATCATACATATACAAGACATACTCTGTCACATAAATGTGTCCTTCACACCATAACACTTGCAGTTGAAACTATCCGTTCAATCACACACATAGATGCACACGCACAAATGGTGCATGACCCACCACACAGCGGGTGTCAAGAGACTCACCCTGTCCCTGGCTCCTAACTGCCAATCCCCGCTAATGCAGTTAAAAGAGAGATAGGTTTGTGGTAGTTGCACTCTACCCTCCCTCCCCTCGAATTCTCTACACACAACACCCATCCTGAGATGAAGTCAGAGACTTGTCACCACATGACCTCAGTCCCCTTCTCCCAGAGCTTGGGAAAACTTTGGCCCATTTGGAGAAAATTTTCCTTCTTTAAGCAGACCTTTCCAATCCACTGTGATGCCTGGTAAGGGAATGCAGAATCCTTGAAATGTTAGTGACACCTGAGCTAGCCCTCTGCCCCTGCTATTTCACAGATGGGGAGGCTGAGGTCCAAGCATCCATAAGGCTGACTCTCAGTCTACTGATGCGATACTTCTCACTCTTCTCCACCAATTCCACACTGATTTGAAATGTGATTCAGCAGAGATTAAGTTCCATGTCTTCTGGGTGGGGAGAAAGGTCTTGCAACCTTCGAGAACATTTCTCTACTCTTTCAAACCTGTCCAGTCCCTGAACTCTGTTGACCCAGGAAGTAACTTTATGAAGCCTCTCTTTCCAGAGAACTGGGGCAAATTGCTTGCAATAATTCTGTGGTCACTGGAGATCGAAAGACTCCAGGAACCATCCCATCTGTCTCACCACATACAAGGGAGAGGCAGTCACAGCTCCCAGCGGCACTTTATGGCATGTTCTGGAATGATGGCTGAGCTTTCTCCCCACCTGACTCGAGCCCAGAGCCCATGAGGAGCTGCTGTCCTCGGTGCTGAAAAGAAGAGCTCAATGTGGGCGGGAGCTGGGACAGCCCAGCATGGCCTATGTGGAACCAGTCTAAGGCTAGACCAGAAGCCACTTGTGCCCTGAGACCCCAAAGCTCTCGCCCTACCCTATTCACTGCTCCCACAACGTAGAGAATGTTAGAGCTAGAAGAAAGATTGGAAAGAGTCCTTTCTAGCTTCATTTTCCAGTGGTAGCAGGCCCAAAGGGAAAGTGTCTTTCCCAGGGTCCCATGAGGAGTAGAAGCCAGGATTAGTAGTTTTTGGAAGCTACTCTATGGCAAGTGAGGAATAAACTGGAATGGGAAGGCAGGAGGCAGGGAACTAGAGGGAAGGCTGGTGTGACAGTCCAGGCTTTGAAGCAAAGAGGAGGGAGTGGGTGGAGCTTGAGCCAATGCAGGGTATGGATAAAGAGGAGGAAGGAGACCCCTGGAAGGCAAACCCAGAGCCCAGAAGACTGAGGTCCAGGACAGGAGTTCTTCCCCGCTTCACACAGCCTAGCCCTGCAGGGAACTGAGCCATCCCACCTGGGGCACCTGGAGATACTCTGATGTACCTTTGTCCAGAAGAGAGTTTCCAGAGCTGATTCCCCAGGTGAGTCAGCCCCATACATCCTTCAGGAGCCAGACTCTCCCACCCAAGCTAGGATACTGACAACCCCAAGGCTTGGGAGGGGAAAAAAAGGGACATGGAATTATAGATGGGAGAAGGGTATGCCACAAGCAAGGGGCTATGAAAGCCAGAGATGTCACTTGTTTTTTGGCCCTACTGTTTGACCATGGGAAATAATAATAACACCGACAACATATCAAGTGTCTACTATGCACAAGGTTGTTGACTTTACATAGGAGATGTAAAGTCAACAACCTTGTGCATAGTAGTCACTTGATTCCCTGGACAACTCTGCAAGGCACAGATATTGTCCTTATTCTACACACGAGTTGGCGAACTCAGAGAGGTTAAGTCATTTGCCTCAGTCCCCAGCTACCCTGTTTCTCTGAAAATAAGACAGTGTCTTATATTAATTTTTTCTCCCAAAGTTGCGCTAGGTCTTATTTTCAGTGGATGTCTTATCTTCCCATGCGCTAGGTCTTATTTTCGGAGGATGTCTTATTTTCGAGGAAACATGGTAGTAAATGACAGGGTGTGGCTCTGAAGGCCACCTTGAATCCCTTCTTCAGGCTCCAACACTTCATCAATGAAATGAGCTCCTTGGACTAGATGAACTCAAGGGGCCCTTCCTGCTCTGACATTTGGTGACTGGATGATTCATAGAGACCTTCAGTTAGAAGGGCATGTGTGTATTCCTCTGGCTCAGGCCCCGGACCTTAAGCCTTGCCTTGCCTACCACAGGGACAAATGATGCAGAAGCCTCACCATCACTCATCTCCCATTGAAGCTGGAGGTCTCCTTGGTATCCACTCCAATCCCTGCCTGCTGACTGGTAGCCTAGGTAGGTGGACAGTCCCAGCCAGATCATTGGACTCTCTCCTAGTGACTCGGCCCTGCCCTGGCTCTGAAAGACCATTCCTCTGAATCGCTTTGGGCACGAAGGAGCCTTTGGATTGGAAGCTGTCTCAGTTGGAGATCAGCAGGGCTTGGTTTTCTCAAGACAGATTCCTGGGGGCCAATACCTCTTCAACCTCCTAACCTTAACATCCCCTCCCCTCCTTGGTCCTGCCCCAGCCCAACCCCTGGATCTCCAGGCCTCCTCTTTCTGACTCCCTCATGTCAGGCCTACACTGTGGATGTTCACAGGGGCCATGCCCACCCTGGGGCATTGATAACTGCAAGCCCCTTCCTCACTTAGCATATCCCTGAGCCAGAAACCACATCCCAGCCTGTGTGCTGGAAAAGACCATCCCTCGTGCTCCTATGGAGGGCTTTATAAAAAGCTATTTTAAGGCCAGGAAAAGTCCCCCACCCCCAGCCCCAACTGGGACTCTCGATGAGCATTCTCCCCGGATGCTCCGGCACCCCGCCCCCTCACCGCCCCCATCCAGCTGCCTATTTGAAGGTTTCTCAGGGAAGTTGTTACTCTGAGAAAAATAAGCAGGAAGAGATTTTAATACACAACCAGCTGGCGTCTGGGCTGATGCCACACAGTGAGGAGGTCTTGGTGGGGAGGGCTGGTTCCTCTGTGATGTAGGGACCAGGTGTGACTGTGTGACCAGATTTCTGTGACCATGGGCACTGTGTGTGTGTGTGTGTGTGTGTGTGTGTGTGTGTGTGTGAGAGAGAGAGAGAGAGAGAGAGAGAGAGAGAGAGACTGTGAGTGCAAGAGAGAGAGCGTGTGCTTCAGTGACCTGGTTCCGTCTGTGTTTGTGTGAATTGCATGATGACTGGCTTTATGTGTGACCATGTACAGTGTGAATGATTATCTTGTCCTTTCCTGGCAGCAGGGCAGTGGCTTACTTAAGCAACTGAGCAGCACACTATTCATATAACCAGGTATAACCAGGCAAGGCATGTGACTTTGTGTGTATCTCTCTTGTGTGACTTTGTAATGTATGTGTGTGACCGGCTAATTACATTTGTGTGGCTCTTTGTACTTAGGAAACTTGGAGGTCACCCATGAGGCTGAATCATGGGGCTGTGTGTGTTTGTGAAGTTGTGTGACTTAGCAGAGGGCCAGGAACCTGGTGGCTGCTTAATAAACAAATGCTGAATAATGTATAAGTTTGTACATGGAGGCAGCACAGGGTAATGGTGAGGAGCATGAACTCAGAAGCCCAGTGCTGGGGTATGAATGCTCCTACCAGCTATCTTACTTACTGAAGCTTCTCACTCCCTTCCTCTGTGCTTCAGTACTTGCCTCACAGAGTTATACGAGGATTCAGTGAGTCAGGACATGTACTGGGCCTAGAATAGCACCTGGTATATGCTAAGTGCTACATAAGTAAGTGTCTGTGTAAGGTGACCCGCCCCGCCCTGGCGCCCCACACCCCCTCACCAGGCTGGGGGAGCTGGAGCGTGCTCTTGCTCCACTGGGTCAGGCCCACAATGGCCACCATCTTGGCGCCGAGGCTGCTACGCCGCTTCTTAGCGGTGGTGGTCCCGGTCCCGGGCCCGGCCTGCTGAGATGCGCAGATTTCACTGCTGATGCTGGAGCTCCGAACCACATTCCTGGAGCCTGCAGCTGAGGCTGGACTTGGCTCCCCGTTAAACATGGTCCCAGGGGCCGCAGAGCCGCAGGCAACTCTATGGGGAGATAAAGAGACAAAGGGGGTCCCCCATCAGACCCCTGGGCCCTCTACCGCAGCCACCACTTAGCTGTGTGACCTCGGGCAAGTCACTGGGCCTCTCTGAGGTTGTGAGGAGTCAGTGAAGAAATAAATGTAAAGAGTGTTCACAGAGTCTGGCTCAATAAATGAAACCATTCTTATTAGCGCGTGGCTACCCTGGCAAGCAACGGGGTTTGGTGGTAAGGGCAGAGGCTGTGGAGTTAAATGGCCCACTCCTGGATTCCAAAGGCCTCTACACACTAGCTGTGTGACCTTGAGACCAACATCCTGGGGTTTCGGTGAACTCTTCAGCAGAACAAGAAGTACAAGCACTTACCTCATAGGATTGTCCTAGGGATTACATCGGTGCCTGGGAAAGTGCCTGGAACAGCATCAGGCACAGAGTGAACATTCAGTAAGTGTTAGCGATAGTCAATTCACAGCCAATAATAACAACAGGGAGAGCAAAACTGGCTCCAGCCTCTGTGGGCTGCGAGGAGGCCCTCCTGCTTGAAAGGAAGGGCACATAGGGGTATAAAGAAGCAGGCAAGAGGCCCCTTAATTGCACTGCTGAGAGCAGCCACCACAAGCTCTTTAACTATCTCCTCCTAATCTCTTTCCTATGCATCTACAAAAATAACTGGATTCATGCTACACACACTATTTTAATTCTGGCATTTTTCATTTATCTTTATAGCACAAACATTTCCCAATGTCATTAACACTTTGTATATACATGGCTTTTTTTTAAAATAAATAAATGATTTTTTTTAATGTTTAAACAAAACATATTTTCATTGATTTTAGAGAGGAAGTGAGAGGGAGTGAGAGATAGAAACATCAATGATGAGAGAAAATCATTGATGGGCTACCTCCTGCACACCACCTACTGGGGATCAAGCCCACAACCCGGGCATGTGCCCTGACTGGACTCAAACTCTGACCTGGTTCATAGGTCAATGCTCAACCACTGATCCACACCAGCTGGAGGGCTTACAGTTTAAATGTTTTGATGCCCATAATATCCCATTGTATGGAGGGAGCATAATTAACTGAAATATTTCAATATAGTTACTTCTTAGATCAGTTGTAATTTTCTTCTTTTTCTCTCTGTTTCCCCATCCCCTCTTTCCTTCCCTCCTGTTTTTAAACAACACAGCAATAAACATCTTTCTACATTGATTTTTTTTTCTGCTTATTTCCTTAGGATTGATTCCCAGAAATGGAGTGACTAGTTTAAGCAAGTGTGGACACTGCTGGTAGCTTCCCCAACATCCATTCTCTCTCCCTGCTACCTAACACACTGGTTTTATCCAGTACCACTCCACCACCTGCCTTGATTAGTTTAAGCTAGTCAATGAGTGTCAGTCACCTTGGTAACTCTTACTGGTCCATGTGACAAGGTTGGCCTAATCTAATGGAGTGCTCTCTCTCTCTCTCTCTCTCTCTCTCTCTCTCTCTCTCTCTCTCTCTCTCTCTCTCTTTCTCTCTGGCTCTCGCTCTCACTCTCTCTCTTTCCTGCTTCCCCTAGGATGAAGCCAGTGTGCTGAGGGCAGCACAGCACAAAGATAGAAAGGGCTTCGGACCACCCTCAGCCGGCCTTTCTCTGGCCTTTCTGATACATGAGATATGTATTTTCCTTTGCTTAAGTCAGTTTGAATCAGGGTTCTTTGTTACATCCAAAAGCATCCCACCTGATACTAAGGGCATAAACATTTTTTGATTCTTGGAATATATTGCTAAATTCCTTTCCAAAGTGTACAAATGGACTCCCCATTAGCTGCATTCAACAAGTATCTAAGCCCTTGAAATTTCAAGGCCTATGTTGAGTGCCTAAGATACAGTAGTGAGCCAGGCCAACTTCGTCCTGCCCTCCTAAAGCCTCCACTCCAGGAGGAGATAGATAGTGAATAAACTAACAATGCAATTAAGCAGTTAAGGGTGGTTCTGATGAGTGTGCGGGAGAGGACCAAGGGCCCGGGGAGCCACTCTGGGGACCAGGCGGCAGGCATCGTTGGCTCCATGTTGTACAGAGGTGGGATCTCCGGTATCAGCCCTAGGACTTGGCTGAAAGTCCGATGCTCAGGCCAAGTTCTAACATGTTCTGCATCCAGTCCTTCCAGGCTCTGTCCTGGCCTGCAGTGTCTTCCCAGGGCAGATTCCATCCCCAGGACTCAGGGGCACTTTGCTAGATCCTCTGCTCTCAGATCTGTCACCGTGAGGGAACCCAACTTTTCAAAAGCACAAAGAAAGGGGTGGGAAAGGGAAGGCACCCCTCCAGCTAACGAGGAAGACAGCTCCCAGACAGCTGACAATGGCTGCCTGGTCTCCAGGTCTGTGCGGCTCCTGCGGGCTGGGAGTTAGGGCTGCCAGTGGGGAAGAGTCAAAGCCGTGTCTTGCCTTCTTTGTGGCTGTCTGGACTGTTCTCACTCACCCTGCGATGTGTGTGGAGCCCCGGTTGTATTTCTCTATCCATCCCCCATCAACATTGCAGCTGATGGAAAGTCCCCTGGACTTGGGCCTGTGATGATCTCCTCTCTTTACTTTCCAATTCTAGTGCCAGTTGGGGCGTGTTTTGGGGCATTTGCACGGCCTTTTGGTGGATGGTGAGAGAGTGCTTACCTGATACTTTGAAGCTACTACAGCGTAAGCCTAACTGGCTCTTGACAGTATTTGTTAGGTGTGTGGTTATCTCCATGTCACAGATGAGAAAACTGGCTCTCAGAGATGTCAAGGCCTCGCTCACCTGACTTGGCTAAGAAGTGGCAAAGCTTGCACTCAAACCCAGGTCTCCAGTTTCCACAAAGAGTCAGACAGACTCTGCAGCCCCTGCACCTTCAACCCAGAACCCACCCCAAGATGTGGGCTTTGCCCTGAGTCTCTGGGCTCTTTGAGAAAACTGCCACAGAGCAGCCAGACAACAGGACACTCAAGTACACCACTCCCAGGGGACGAGAAGGTAAAAGGGTAAGGGACAAAATTCCTGACCCTGCCAACCCAGGGACTCATATTTCCTCATGAATAATCAATGGCACCAACAAGCGGATGGCTTGACATCCAGGACTCTGCACCCTCCAAAGCCACATTCTCATCTTTAACCGCCCAGGGGCCTGAGAGCTGATGAGTGCCTGAGAGGGCGGAGTCTGTGAGCACACATGCAGTGGCAGGCTCAGGTCTGGGTTCTAGTTGCTTCTATGGCAGCCAGTCCAGTTCAAGAGGAACAAGACAGAGAGACAGACAGAGCCGGCCACCTGGCCCCTATGAGGAAGGAAGTCCTACTGCATAGGAACCCCTGAGCCATCAGGCCACAGGGACAGGAAAAGGGCAGCAGGGAGAGGGGGCTGGCAGGATACAGAACACAACCTCACATTCTGGTGGTTTAAAAGATTGCTAATTGAATGATATCCTTTCCACAGAAATCACTTCAAAATTCCCACCAATGAGCAGCTCTCCTTTCCCAGCCCAGTTTAGGGTACTCTGAGGAGGGGCGTTGTCCCCGGATCTCACTGGATCAGGGGGCCTTGCTGTCAGGTTCTCCCTGCAGACCCTGATCTGTGGCTATAGCAGCATCTACAACTACAGCTCAGACTCACCCTCTGGAGCAGTGGTGGCCAACCTTTCCGAGCTCAGTCGGCGACCGCTGCTCTGGAGGAAGCTGCTGCCCTGGCTGCTGCTCCGACTGCCGCCAAAGCTCCACACTAGCAAGTACCGCCCCACGTCCCCACGGATCAAGCCTTGTTTTCTTCCTGACCCTTGATGTCTGGCCGGAGGTCCGAGTACCCAGCTGATGAGAACAGGCTCAGGAATTGAAACTGACTTGCCATCCCTTTCCCACCCTGAGCCTCTCATTTGGCAAAGTTTGGAAATCAAGGTCCAGAATGCAAGGCACATCCAGTACCAGAAAGTTGGTGACAAATCAGAGCTCCAAGCCAAGTCTCCTAACTCCCAGGTTCCACATCACCTGCCGATGCCCTCCTCGCCGCTCACCTTGAAGAAAACCCAGACTCACCAAACTGAGGACTCTGAGCGTGGTGTTCCACATCACAGGGGGCTGCGCCCCTCCCAGCAGCACTCCCCTAGGGCACTCACGGGCGGCTCCTGTGAACTTCTTCGGGGACACCAATTTTCAAGAAAGGAGGTGAAGGCAATCAGGGTAGGTCCCAGGAGGAGGTGATGTGATAAGACTCTGGAAGGAAAGAGGAGAGCTTAGAGGATAGACTAGAGAAGACATCTGTCTTCAAGGGCTTCCAGTAGCTCATGGAGTAAAATGACAGATTTTGCACATGACCTTGAGCTATATGACCTAGAGCAGTGTTTCCCAAAGTGTGATACACATACCCCCAGGAGTACGGGAAGAGTTTGGTGGGGGTACGCGTTGCACGGGAATTTGATGGGGATATGCACTGCACCGTGCTTAGCTGCACCTAATTCTACGTTCTCATGAGTGCAAGGGGTATTCAGCATTATGAAAATTATAGAAGTGATACATATATGTCAAAAGTTTGGAAAACACTGACCTAGAGCAAACCATTTCAGCTCTCATTCTGTTTCCTCCTTCATAAAACTGCCCAAACGCCTAGGTCCTCCCCTCCCTCACCACATCCCCTCCCCACAAGGCCTTTAGGAACCTTTAATGTTAACTTGCTGGAGCTGAAGCTCCACCCACAACTTTAAGTCTTTTAACACTTGGAGGTCTCATCCAGGTCCAAATGCTAATCAACTCTAAACTCTGTTCTCCCTTCCTCTGTCCTCCCCCTGACTAATGGGGTCTGTATCCCTCCCCAGACACTATGTAACATGCCCAGCAGTCAGGAATGCTGAGGGTAGGTGGGGTGGGGAGAGGGGGGACTCCTGAATCCACCGCCAGCCATGTGAACCTAAGCAAGTCACTCAGCTTCCCTGAACCTCCATCTCCTCTTCTATAAAATGCACCTACTGGCCACCTGGCCCCAGACTGGGGAGCAGGTGAGATCAGGAGGAGCAGGAAAGCATAGTGATTAAAAACCCAGACTTTACCCTAGCTGGTTTGGCTCAGTGGATAGAATATCGACCTGCGGACTGAAGGGTCCTGGGTTGGATTCCGGTTGAGGGCACATGCCCCGGTTGCAGGCTCGATCCCCCGTAGTAGGTGTGCAAGAGACAGCCGATCAATGATTCTTATTGTAGATGTCTCTCTCTCTTTCTCTCTCTCTCTCTCTCTCTCTCTCTCTCTCTCTCTCTCCCCTCCTCCTCTCTCTCTCTCCCCTCCTCTTAGAAATCAATAAAAATATATTAAAAAACAAAAACCACCACCACCACCAACAACAACAAAAAACAACCTCCCCCTCGCCCCACCAGGCTTC